GGAAAGAGAGATGGACTATGCACTGTTTGCAGGGGGAAATCTGTTTTATTTCTCTTACGTATACTGCAGATGTTTCAGCAAGCTGCTGCTTGCTGCCACGGGCGGTGGGGAACGCCGCGCTGTCCTGCACCGCGCCGGCCCCCCGACGCCGCGGTGCCCGGAGCCGAGACGGGGGCATCGCAGGCCTGACCGGGGAGCAGGGGACGCCTGGCCACTCAGTGACACGATGGTGGCAAGGACTAACCAGGCATCCCCTTGAGTCCCAAACCTCCCTGCTCCCAGGGAGAGCCCCACAGCTCCGGGGACACGTCCGACCGGGGCTGCAGGAGCTGGGAGTCACACCGAAACGGCTGGTGCGGAGCTGAGGGATTTACCAGATCTCATCAAAACCTATGCTGGAATAAACCTAACAATTCCTGAAGACATTCTGCTCCATAATTAACTGAAAATTAATTACAGAATCTCAAAAAGAGCATAAACCAAAAATGGGCCAGCATACCTTCGTACCGCAGTTGCTCACTCTGAATCTCGTCCAATAATTAAGTCTAGCATATGGCGCTGGAGTTTAAAAAGAAAACAACAAACAAACTCTGATCTCTGTGGAAGTTTGGGAGTTCTGCCTGCTGAAGAGTACGGCTGCAGGCACATGCACTTTCTAGAAACAAGGATGATGAATTAATTCAGTATTTGGCAACCTTAGCTTTGGAGAAATTACAGGTTGCTGGTGCTTCTCACAAAATCAAAACAGAAAAATTGTGAAAGAACATAATTAGGTAAATTATTTGCTGACTTGATGAATAATTCTCTGAGGAGTATTAGAGGATAAGAGCTTGGGGAACAGCACAATGTTTCAACAAACAAAAGGAGGAGGTATGCAGTAAAACTGCTACATTAATTTGACTGAGCCTTCCTGAAAAGGTGTATTTTATATCACTGAATTATACATATTTTTGTAGAAGGTGCTTAAAGCATGGCATGCTGCCACACAGCAAAACACTGTTTTTTTTTGAAAAAAAAAAAAACAGTTAGCATGCTGAACATATCTGATCAAAACATACCTTTGATAGAGTAAACAAAGGAATGAACGTTTTTAAAAAAATGAGAGAGAGTATGAAAATAAAAGAAGTCTGGCAGGAAAAAAAAAGTAGATTAATGAAAGTTTGTGAAAAATTTACTGTATGGAAACTCTTTTGATTTCCATTTTTCCACTAGAGAGATGAATATCTTCAATAACAGTAGGAAGATGATAGCAAACTTTCACATTACAAAATGTTCTCTCTGTGCTTTATAAAACATCCTTCTGCAGTAACTTGCAGCTCGGCAGGAGCTGGGGGCCTTTCATTCTGACCCACAGATGCAGAAGGAGGCAGAAGAGTCAAGTTCTTTTCTGACCCAGGGGAGACAGGGCCTTGTTCTCCAAAGCATCATTTTTTTTCTACATCAACTGGTGATTACTTTTTTAAAGTGAGGGAATAAATACCTCCAACTATATGTAAGCGGAGAAGAACGTGCACGGCTTCAGCAGCTTGCAGCACACTGCAGCCCTGAGCTGTGCTGGGGACCCTTTTGCAGAACATCTTACCGGTTTCCTCACGAGCCAAATACATGGGCACCTTTGATGCACGTCGCTTTCTGTGTTTGCCTTGCTTTGAGTTGGAGGGTGTGAGCTAAATTACATTTACTGCACAAAGAGCACAGGATTGTGCAGTGTGACTCAGCTGCACAGTACTATGCTGCAAATAGGATTTAAACTAAATCGCATTTATAAAATGATTTTTGTCCAGAACTTTGCTGATCACAATGCCTAGCAAAATACTTGCATGTTTTGCCTATAAGTACAAACTAGAAACAGATAAAAGTCTGTTTTTTTTATTATTGGAGTAATATAAATTCTTGGCAATCTAAGCTGATCATCAGCCACATATGAAACTACAAGCTATGAGGCATACTCTATAATGTATATAAATATACTCTATATATTGAAGTTAATTATGAAAAAAATTTAATGCTAAAACTTAGATGTTTATGGGAACAGAAAACTACTGCTGTCCAATCCTCATTAGTAGCTGTGCCATTGCCAGCCCCTCGCTCACGCTGCTCGCTGCTGTACACGAACCCAGAGCCGCGCAGCCCCCCGGTGCAGCCACGAGGCCCTGCGGCCTCCTAAGAGGCCCTATGCAGAATTCCCAACCTGGGAAGGAGGAGGGCCTGAGTGGCTAATGCCCTGAAGCCCTAACGGTCCCTAGCAGCTCTGGACCAGCTTGTGGGCTGAATGGTCCATCAGCCTAATTTGGCAACCACTGGGGTCCTCTACTTTGTAATGCTGTCTCCAGGTTGCAACTTAACCCTGCACTTTCAACCTGTTTCCTCAGAGGAATGCAAAGCACCTATGTCCACAGCCTCTCCCCTACCATCTCCTCCACCCACACACTGCAAAGATCATTTTATGCTACTCTAGCTCCTTACGTGGCATTCAAAAGAAGGTGAATTTTACTCTAGTTTCTCTTTATGGAGAAAATCACCAAAACAACTAAATCACCAAGCTCAACTCCTTGTCAGTGGTACCTTGGAGAGGTGAACTCAGCCTTCCATACTCCTGTGTCGGAGGGGTACAATGACAAAGTTTCTGTTCTAAAAGATTACCACACAGGACAGCAGCCTTAAATTGTGCAGGCAGAAATCCCTCGTACGTACACACGTACAGGAACACGTGCCCATGGGAGATCTGCAGGCACTGGGCAGGATACCGCAGCGCTTCACACAAGCTGCCCGTGGCTGCAGCAACGTTTCCAGAAAGCCTCAGAGCCAGGCTGCTGCTCCCTTTCCAGCCTGCAGCGCCTGCCTTGGGACGAAGGAGCTGCTCCCGCAGAGCTCTGCTCCAGGAAGCGAGCCCCATGTTCTGCCTCCCTTGCTGGATTCAGCGGCGCGGGCCAACACCAGGGCGCGAAGCTGTCGGACAGCAGCGTGCCGCGCTTCGGCCCCGGCTTTGGGAGGACGCAGGAACAAGGGGCCTCCGACGAGCTGGGCAGCAACGCAGCATCCTCCGAGAGCAGCTTAAAGGGGCTAGGAGGGAAAAAGGGCAGGGCTACCCTCCGGTGGGGAAGGGTTTACTCGAGGATTTTTGCCAGGAGACAGGACAGAAAAAGAGGATTTGGGGAAAGATAAAAACTACTAGCCAGAAGGCAGGAGCCAGGATTTTACATAACATTGTGTAACCTATAGAAGACAAGAAGATAAATGTGTGTGTAAAACTAAGCCAGCCCACTAGGAGGGTAGGTCCAGGAGGATAAAAAGACAGCAAGTTATAAGAGAGAAAATGCTTTGAAGGAATAAACATGACCAGGTAATAAGCATGGAAAACATTTTAATATAAAGTTCACTCTATGTGTCAGGGAAGGGAATCTTAGCACCAAGACCCCAATTTTCAGACAATATTTTTTATATATCGAATGAATATTATGAGTGATGGGAATAAATGATTTACAATACAATTTGCTTAAGGATGGCCTGTAACAAGATGCCTTCTGAAACACAGCCTACACTGTGTAGCGGTTGTAAATGACAACTAAAACAATGGAAAATGACTACTAAAAGCTCTGTTATAATATGGTTTTCAAAAAGCTTTTGATAAATTAAAAAGTTCTGCTTATTTTTTTTGCATATGAATTATGGAGTATCATCATCAATAACTGCACATCCAAACTGCAGCAGAAATAAACCTATCTAAATGTTGAATGAATAACAAAGAACCTGAGAGGCATCACTTTACATAAACTTCCTTTTCATGATGTAGCAAAATGTTTTTTAATATTCTAGCGAGGGTTCATCACCAAGAAAAGCACACAATCCTTGAAGTCTTAACACTTTTAGCTATATGAGATTCCACTAAAATTACTGTCATCATAAAACACCCACTTTTTTTTTTCCTGAGCCGTAAAATATGTATCTCCAAAAACTAATTTAGAGATTTAGAATGACAATAGTTTATTAACTATTTAGCACTTCTCTAAGATAATTCTGCCTTAACTTCTGAGACCTTGCAGCTGCCAGAACTATAAAAGGCTGCAATTTCTAATATTTTTGCCCAGTCAAATTATGAGAGCAAGCTATTAACGTCCTGCTTACCTCCTAAATTCATTCCAGCTTGCAGACATTTCTGTAATCGGCAAGCTGGGCAGTTCTTCCTCCGAATCTTGTCAATTATACAGTCGTTCCTTCCCGCACACAGATAATTGTGCTGCCCTGAATGAACCAAAAACAAAACACATTATTAGAGCACGTATTTAAATAATTCCCATATGTTCACTGTATTGTTTGCTCTGCAGTCGTTTTGAGTGTCTTATTAATGCAGAAATTCTCAATGTCATTATTTCCCTTCCCAACACCTTGGTGACCCTTCCTTGTTTTTACTATGAGCATCTTTTCTGTTTAGGCTTGAAATGAGTTTTGGTGCATCATTCACAAGAGAAATCTCATCATCCCTTTCTTCCCAACAAGACTGCCAAGCTTGTTTGGTTTTTTTTTCCCCCTCATAGAAAAATGTTGGTTTCCACCTTTTTCAAATATTTTTACATGCCCCGCATCACAAAGCAACCTAACAGCTCTTAAAGTTCAGTAGAAAAAACAAACGAACCGAGAGCCACTCTCATGTTAAAAGCAGCTCACAGTCTAAAGCAGAAGTGCAAAGTAGAGGTCAGCCCTCACAACAGACTCCATCCTCTTCAACCGCTCTACCGAGTGCTTCATTTCTGATTTAATCGGTTAACTTCTAGTAGAAAATTCCTGAAGGGTTTGCCAAAATAGGTCGAGTGCTACAGCACTGAAGACAGAGCAGATATTTAGCAGACAGCAAGGAGCAGAGGGGAAATGTCCCGTGCGACAAAGGCAACAGGCTGACGAGGAACAACCTGAAGACTCAAGAGGTGTTTTGCCTTTTGGGGGAATAAGGTAGGTGGTACAGCAAACGGGTGCAGTGTATCCAATGAGGGCACTAACCTGTGGGACATTCAAAATAACTACAAGATACTTGAATTTGATGTGGAAGAGTGAAGGAAGCCACATGAGGTTAAGTTCAATATGACAAGAAACATGAAAGAGGAAGATGATTTTATCTGCCTCCGTCTAGAGGTGGCATAATGGGACCTAGTAAGACCTGAAAATCAGTTTGTAGAATTTATGTCAAAGAGTGCAACAATGTTTCCAGGAAATGACTAAAGGAAAGACCACAGCTCAGGAGTTGCAAGATTTGCTATAATCCGAAAATCAGAAAAATAGTCACAAGTGAAACACAATAGTAAGTTTCAGGCCTCTGCAGCAAGCAAAACAACTACTACCAAGTCTTGTGGAGAGGAATTTTATAGACAATATTAGAAATATGGTATTCTGCAAACTGAATTCAAGTTGTAATGAAGATGCCTCAACTGCAGGAGGGACAGAAAGAACTTAGAACTGGCAATGTTGTTAACACCAATGGCCACCTTAGTCACGGAGAGCCTCCTGCACTGGTCATGGACAAACGCAGAGGCTGCTGTGAAGAAAACCAAGGGCCATAGGAGCAGCGTGCAGCATGACTGCAGCACTGTGGCTGCAGCAGGCGGCAGCCGGCGGCACCGCGGAGCCGGGGCAGAGCCGGCACGGGCTGTTCCGGAGCCCAGCTCTGCGGGACCGGGCGGACAAGAGGCAGGGCCCAGCTCCATGGGACAGGGCGGACAGATGCCGGGCCCATCCAGAGATGCAGCCAGGGAGAGCTGCTTTAGAACGAGAGATATAAAATATATTTGCCAGGATATTTTCCACAATACACAAGTGCTTCCTTAGGGAAAGTCAAAGAAAATATTCATGACACAACAAGAGACCCAGCTTCTATTTTGGCCCCTTTCAGGAATTTGCCTTTAAACTTCAGATAAGTCATTCCCCATCTCTACATCTGACTTCCGTTTACCCTTAGCCGAAAATACCTATCTGGCCAGCGCACTAAAGTTTCAGCTGTGTCTTGCATCTCCTCGCCGTGCGTCTCGCCTGGAGCGACCGGTGCAGCGGTGGCGCTGCCTCCCCCACCCCAGCCCCAGAGCCTCACCTAGCAGCGCGACACGGACTACGAGCAGTAAAAGTTCAGGAGGATAATTCATGCTCTTGAGTTCATGAAGTTACGCCAGAATAGAATAAATCAAGTTGCATAATATAATGACAGAATCAATATCTACTAGCTGATCTTGGAATAGGCCTGCTAAAACAGGAACAAGAAAATTCTCAGCTAATCACAAACTAAAACCCTGCTTATCACAAAACATTTAGTGTACAAATTTATCTGCACAAAAACAGATATATAACAAGAAATAAAAAGTACTTCATTCTTACTATTTACATTTTTACTTAGTACTAACCTGAGCACACACATCTTCTAAACATAAAATTAAAGTGGAAGACAGAGTGTTTGAAGTACTGCTACACAACACGAAGATGCTGTATATCACATCAAAAATACCGGTAGCTGGGTTTTAACAGCATCTTTTGGGGAGAGAGGGGAGAAGTGGGTATTTTCTGCCTGGAACGCAGGCGCGACAGCTCAGCGCTCGCGCAGCGTCCCTCGTACATCCCGGAGCACCGCAGTACCATTTTTAGGCTTTCACAGGCGGGCGCAGGCTATTAATATGACAAGGCAGCTCTAATGCTGCAGCGTGAGCCCCACTGCAGAGCGTGCCCAGAGGCAGCTTGCCCTCTGGAACTGCAGCCCTGGGAAGTCGACATGCGTTCAAAAACTGAGGAGTTTAATAAAAAGGGGTTAACACTTAGGCACTCTAGGATAACTACTTGTGTCACATTCTGAAATATTGTAGAAATGCTTACTTGATTTAATCACTGCCACACCATGACTTCACAAGAAGTATTCCCACTATAGCAGAATGCTTCTCTAAGTCACATTTCAAATGGTTTAGGTAGTCTACAATTACTACTTTCTAGCCTACATATCCTAGGTTCAATATTTACAGGAAGTATCATTTAGCAAAGGTTCATCCGTTTTTGAATCATATATCTCTGAATACTACCATATGGTACAAAATCTGTAAGTAGTCTTTCTAGTAAGCATGGCAATCTTTTTTCTTTAGTAAGCAAATGTTTTCTGTAGATCAGAGAGACTGTCAGCAAGTATTTTTTTATTTCTAAAAAAAATAATAAATTAAATCAGCATTTAGACAACTATCTGGTGTATAGATGTATATCAACTATCTATGTATAGATATGTAATACCAAAGTACAATATTGTTTCAGTAAAAAAGTTCCTTCTATTATCTATCATGAAAAACACGTAGCTGCAGATTTTCACACAACCAGAACATGGTTTGTTTTGATTATAATTAATGCTGCACTGCAAGTCAGTAAAGTGAAGGTGCCCATAATGAATATAACTACAAAAGCCTCTTTCATAAATGGAAGCATCTCCCATTTACGTGGCAAGACTTATCTTAACACGCCCCTCTGAGCTTCAGAATCAAAGCACAAATCTCTGCAGCTGAAACTGTTTTGTGGTGGCCAGATCCTTGGTTCTTATAAGGAGCTTATCAACCCAGTTGCGTAGCTTGTGCTTAGTTTAATCCAGTTGCTCTTTTTATCTAATCATCCAAAAGTGGGCTGAAAAGTGATGGAGGAGGTATCAAATTCTCATCTCCCACGTGCTAGTGCATTGAGGAGAAAGCAATTTTTATATATGGCTTCATAAATACAAGGTAATTCCCATTTCATCCAAAATAAACAGAAAAGATGTCAGGAAAAATTCCTATTCAAAATAACTAACTAACAAGTACTATGTAGTTACATACCAAGAAGAGAAAAAGACCTGTCCTATTCACAGTAGTTTAGTTGTATAAACCAGAGAATGGTACACACTGATGCAGAGCACACACAAAGGTATTTCAGAGGTGAGGGACTTGAAAACCATTGTAGACTCATTAGTTCCCTGATATGATAAGCTTGTGGCAAAAAAACACGAATGAAGCATTCATGAAATCCCATCTTTCCTCTTATTACATTATTTTGAACAACAAAATTCACAAAAATTCAGCAGTAAAGGGGGGGAGGAAAAAAAGCAGTTATCTTGGGGATACGAATGACCGCCACAATGAGACTGCTACCTGCCAGAGCAGTTGTGTTTGTCCCCATGCTAAAAATCCAGCCTAGTAATTGAGCTCCTAGAAGATGCTTTGCAAACATGAGCTCCTGTACGCATGCAAAGTGCTGCTGCGTGCTTGGTGTCTCCATACACGTCAATCTGCAAGACAAATGGGGTCTAGACATTTCTTGCCAGAAACATTTTCATCATTAAGACAAAATTTGTAAATTGCATAAGTTTGTGAAATATAGCACAGCTCATATATCTCAGTCTCTCTCCTAAAAAAATCATTATTTTTTTTTTAGTTTTTCAAAGTCTGTCAGTAACTGCAAGCAATTAATGGCCCTTCTGCATTTCTGCTCTCTTGCTAAAACAGCAAGTCCTACCATGTTCAGAAAATGTTAAATTTTGTAAAACAAAGCTGATAAAACAGAGAAACAGAAGCTCAATGCTAGAAAAGGAAGCAAAATTCAAGTGCCCTGTATGGAAGCAAGAAAAAGCCATTTGAGCCGTTCAGACAAGTGCTTTTTGTTTCCCCTAAACTTGTTTTAAAACTTTCTAAAGAAAAAGCTTCATCAACTTTTTGACAAAGCACATCCTACCGGTTTGCTAGCCTGCAGGCTGGGGTTTTTCTCCCACTTGGTACCTACATGATGTTCCCCCCCGCTCCCGCGCCAGACACATAAAGCTGTAGATCAGCGCCTTCCTTACAGCAACCGGGCGCTTATTGAAAGATTTATGTTCCCCATCTTATGGCTAGACTAAACAAATCCAGTTCTCTCAATCTTTCCTCATAGGTCATGTTTTCTAAATCTGTCGTCATTCTTATTATTCTTTTCTGGTCTCTTTCACAAAACCTAGTGAAGAAAACTGGGCTCATTTTTCTAGCTGAGCGTCACCATCACCAAGTCAAATAAAATCGCTGCTTCCTGCACTTCGCACACAACTTTCCTGCTAATGCAATCCAGAAGCAGCTTTGTCCCTTGGCAATCGCATTGCACTGTTGACTCAGAGCCGTTTGCTCTGCTCTGACACCCAGCTCCGCTCCGGCGGCGCAGCTGTCCCGACACTTTGCACCGGGGAAAGGCTTCCGGCTTCATCCGAGGAGCCAGCTCTCTCCTTCCTCGGATAGAGC